CCTAAGGAGGGATGGGACCAGGGTCCCTTCTTAGCAGCTCCCTGGAGAACCACTGCTGGTTCATATGGCACCTGCCTGAGATTTAGAGAAGACAGCCCTTCATCTGGACAGATGCACCCTGGACCTAGGGTGCAGCACTTCATTGACTGGAGCGTGAAATGGACCACCATCCCTGTTGTCCCCTCAGCTGGGCACCTTTGTACAGTTATCACTCTGGTCAGGACAAAGGCTTAGAATTTTGAACTTGTAGACACTTTTCTGATAAAGGAGTGACTTCATTCTTTCTCCCATCACCCACCATTGCTCTCGATCAGCCTTGCACCTCTCCATTCAGCTGTCACTTCAGTTGAACCCAGGAAGGACTGGACTATGGATCCCATTTATAGATGGAAAAGTTAAAGTCAGAGAGAAGTGTGTTTCCCTGGTTCTCTGGGTGAGTCAGGGCTCGAGCTGAGGCTGGAAGTGACATCTCTGGTATCCCAGGATAGACTTTGCTCATCACTGAGGAGTTAAGAGGCCTAAGGAATTGGGCATCATGCATACTGCAGACATAAGCCCTGAAAGCAGGGCACTGGGTCTCCTCACTCACCTCATGAGATCTTCACAGTCAGTCTTCTAGATCCTTGGACCACCAGATTGGAACTCCCCCATAGGGGTTGCATGAGGACAGAAGTGAAGCCAGCTCTGCCTGCTGGGTGCCAGGTGGCAGGTCACCAGTTCTTTCTGGTCCTCTGTCTTGTCTCCCCATGTCACCTGCTAGCTGGGCATCCAAATGTCAACCCCTGGTTTGAGGGATTGGGTTGTGGTCTTCTTGCAGTTTTCAGGACAACCAGCTCAAGGACCAGGAGGTGCTGAGCATCATGGAGGTACTTCCTCTCCTGCCACAGCTCCGAAAGCTTGAGTAGGTGGTCTTTCCACTCCCTCTCCCAGCCTGGTCCCTCTCCCTGCTTGAGTAGGAAGGAGGGTCTGAGGGCCACGGGGATTCACTCCTGACACCTTTGCCACAATCACGCAGCCTGAGCCGCAACAACATCTCCGTGTCAACCCTACTCTACTTGGCAGAGGTGGCAGTCAAGTACCCTACTGTCAGGATGCTGCAGGCCAGGTGAGCAGAAGGAATGGGATCCCAGCTTTCGAGGTCTTGAGAAAGGAGGAGGAGAAAGGGTGATGGGAAAGGGGAGAAGCCTCTAGTCCTCAAGATCTGCATGTGCATGTGGGAGTCTGTCTTACAACTGTGTCTCTAAGCCTAGCTCAGGCCTTGCACCTGGTACTCAAATTAGTAGATGGATGAATGGATGGAAAAATGAATGGAGAGATGGATATAAAGATGGGTGGATAGATGTATGGATATATGTATGGGTGGGTGGATGAATGGGAAAGTGGATGGATAAATGAATGTAAAAATGAGTGGATAGATGGATGTAAAGATGAGTGAATGGACAGGTAGAAAAGTAGATGGATAGATGGATGGAAAAATAGCTGGATTGGTGGATGGAGGATGGATAGATGGGAAAAGTGAATGGATAGATGGATGTAAAAATGAATGGGAAAGTGGATGGATAGATGGATGGAAAGATGGATGGAAAGGTGAGTGGATAGTTGCATGGAGGGAGAGAGGAAGGAAAGAATCAACAGATCTCAGAAGCACCAGCATAGCCAAAGGAACGACTGGCCGCTTGCCACTCTCCATGGTGCTGCCCCAGCACTGCCTGCTTGGGTTGCGGCGCAGGTTCATCAACAACGGCAGAGTCAGCATTTTACATGCTTGCTTTGAGGCACTTCGGCCAGTTCTGAAGCAGCATTCTCTAGATGTTTGGGTCAGGAAGGGGTGCCTAGGTGGGGGCAATGTGCTAGTTTTTAGCCCATGAGGTTCATGACTCGCTTTCTGACCCTACAGGGAGTCAGACCTTATCTTCCTTCTCTCCCCACCCACGGAGACAGCTGAAGAGCCACAAAGGTAAGAAGCTAGAGAGGGGAACCCATCCTGAGCAGTGGTCTGGGCAAAAGGAACCCAAAAGAATCTAGGAAGAACTGGAATGTGGGAATTCTTCGTGCTACTGATGTGCTGAGGCATGAATTACTGCAGTCAGCGAGGGATTTTACCTTCCTCTAGCGTATCTGGACCACCCTGTAGTCAGAGAGCATCCCCAGATATAGAGCCAGGCCCTTGAGGACATGCAAACACTGTTAGACCGCCAACCAGGTGGGGAGTGCCCTGAGAAAACTCACAGCTGAAGTAAAGACGGGGGCAGGCAGTTACGGGCCTATATCTTTGGGCTATTCTGAGACGTAAATGAGTCCTGCATTTAAGGTGCTTGAACAGAGGCCAGATGGTAATGGTGATGCAGTGGTAATGCGACAGTCTGCAATACTAGGCCCACGTGGGGAAGGTCCTGGGCTCGCATCTGGAGACCTCCATGAGCACGCTGGGTGTGCGTGCCCGTGCTCATGGTCCAGGCCAGCTGAGATTGGAGGTGGATCACAAAATGAAGACTGTTAGGGATTTTTCTCTTCCTTTCTTTCTCTGTCTCTCTCTCTCTCTCTCTCTCTCTCTCTCTAGCTTTCTCTCATGAAGGAACTATATAAATACACTTTTTTTCAGAGATGATGTGCTTAGAACAGAGCTGGCATGCAGTTGGCACTGCTGTGCCTGGTTCCTGCTTGGGAAGTCTTAGACGGGTAGAGAAAGGGAAGCTGCCTCCCACTAATGAACATGGCCCCTGTGCTCCCTCACTCTCTCCCCTGGCCCAGAGAGAGATGATGTGTGTCTTTGAACTAGTGCTTTCCCTGCACTAGGCCTCGATTCCTTCACCTGTGCAACTCCCAGCAGGACCACAGTAGCATTCCCCTCCGGCTGTCTAGATCTGTGAGGCCCAGTATGGTAGCCTCTAGCCACATGGAGCTATTTACATGGTCATACTTCACTTATTCAGTGGCCCTGCGTGGCCAGTGGCTCCCATAGTGGATGACATGAATGAAGATGTCCATTGTTGTAGAAAGCCCTCATGGCACCCGTCTACAAGTCTTGAAACCTGGCTCTTAATGTCCTAGATTCTCTGCAGCCCCCAGACTTCTCCTGGCCAGATAGGAAAGAGTCCCCAAGCCTGGGCCCCTGTGTACAGCGCATGCTCCCTGCCTTGGCAGTCACACACACACACCCCAGTGAGCACACGCTGAGCTTCGGTTTTGTGCCGATGTTGGGTGCCTGACCACGCACTTTGGTCGGGTCCTGCAGGAACGCTGTGTGTTAGATATTGTCTCTCTGTTTCAAAAAAGAGGGGAGTCTTACATGACTTGGGTGACTTGCCCAGGGCCACCCAGCTACACAAAGCAGAGCCAGAGTTAAATCAAGGTTGTTCTTGCCCTTACACCTTTTGCTTGTGGCACTTGGCCAAATGGTGCCTCGGGCACTTTCCAGCCGCCATCTTTGGTTCTCATCCCATGTGGTGCTGCTGCAGGGTCTCCAGCCCTGAGAACCCAAGGAAAGAGACTTGACCCCTCACGCCCTGTCTCCTGAGCCCAGGCTAATGTTTAATTTGTTCTTGTCAGAACTTCAGGCCAACAAGAAAGTGACAGCCAGAGGAAAGAGGCTCCGGGCAGAAGCCTGACACTCAGGTACCTCTGTGGGGTCTGTCCATTAAGGAGAAGGGGATGCTATGGGGGAGTCCCAGGGGAGTGGGAGTCCCAGGGGCGGGAGAGCTGTGCAGGGAAAGGGTATGCACAGCCCAGCCTGGTTTGAATAAGAAGCACTAGTCACAAGGAGAGCCACAGTTTAATGTCCCCTGCTATATGGCGGCCATGGTGTCACATGTTTTTTATCTACTCTGATTGCAATCCTTCTAGAAGCCCTGTGCAGCACACATTATTATTCCCAATTGACAGAGGAGGAAATTAAATGTCAGGCAGGTCAAAGGCTTTGCCTAAGATCACCCAGCTACTAAGAAGTGTAGCCGGGGTTAGCCGCCAGGTCTGTCAGTCTCCTGACACACCCAGTTCTCAAAGCTGGAGGGAGCCTGGTGTGGCTTTTGGCCCTGAGCCCCTACATCCCCGACCCCTCACCAGGCTCCGGAAGTGTGAGCTCAGGGTCCACCACGCGGATGCCCTCACAGTCCTGCTCCACAAAAGCCCCCACCTGGAGGAAGTGGAGTGAGTATCCTGGGAACCCCTGGGGCAGGAGGCAGGGATAAAGGTTGGGGCAGAAGGGGCAGGGCCCCACCTTTGGGGGTGTGGGGGAGGGGTGTGCTAGCTCGTGAAGAACTCTGGGGAATCCGAGACTCATGACAACAGCCACAGTCTAGGACTGAGTTGGCTGCAGGGGAGGGGCTTTACACCCACCCACACGTCAAATCCCCCCATCTCTACGATGGAAGCACTGTTACTGTCCACGCTTTAGAGAGGAGGAATTCAAGCCACAGAAAAGTAAATGTGCTCAAAGGCACGCAGGTAGGAAGGGTCCAGCCCCGGATTCAAGCGCAGACAGCCCACTCCCAGGCGCATCCTTATAACCCCAGCTACTTCCGTCATTGAGATCTGCAAAGTACTATAAAAATGCCGACCCACCTGGGTCTCTAAACTTCAGCCCCCTATGCCATCGGATCGGCCCCCGACTTTCTCCCAGAGTAAAGGGAGACACCCCGGGGGCTGGAAAGATTCCCATGTTTTCCTGTTCTTTTTTTTTTTTTTTTGGAGAGATTTTCACTGTAGGGCGCGTGCGCTCGCCAGACAGACAGAGAGAGACATAGAGACAGAAAGCGAGAAATCAGCCCCCAGGGGGGATGGTCACGCCGCAATCCCTTCTCCTCCATTCTCCTCTTGGGATCTTGGGCACGCATGCACACGCACCCGGCGTGAGTTTTTAAGCCACCGGGTCCGGGACACGAACCGCGGTCGACTACGTGGGAGTCCAGCGACATAGCCATTACGCTAACTGCTGGTTCCCGCCATGTGTTCCTGTTCTTGGGCGGGACTGATGAGAACTTCGGGGCTGGTGGAGGTGCTGCCCTGTCGCTAAGAGGGGAGCCCCACCAGGATGGTCCCAGCAGGTCCTCAAATGACATACAGGTGGAGGGGTGGAAGGCCATGGTGTGTGCCAAGAGGTGGGGGTGGCTCCCTTGGTGACCAAGCCTTGATTCATACTTGTTTCACTGAGACAGCCAGGGCAGGACTCACAGGTGATTCTTTCCGGGTCAGCCGGCGGCATGTTGGTTAAGGGCACTGGACTCCCCCCGACTGCAGTTCAAGTCCCAGACCTGGTGGCTTGCTTTCTCACTTTCTCTCTCTTGCTCTCACTCTGTCCCTCTCTGGTCAAATAAAAAATAAACACATAAGTTAAATACAATAATTAAATTTAAAAAAAAAAAAAAGAGGTGGTCCTTTCTGAACAGGCATTCTTGCACCCACCTGGGCCCCCCGAACCCACTCCGCCCAGTATTCTTACCTTCAGTAACCTGCTCCTCACTCACCTGGTTACACAGATCACTCCACAGCTCCCTGGCCTTGCCCCCAGAGCCAGTCCATCCTGGGTCGATGTTAAGAGCTCTCAAAGCCATCCCCGTTCTCCATCCTTTTTAAATCCAGCTCCCTCACCCCTCATCTCTCGCCTGGGTGACCTCAGCCTCCTCGCTGTCTCCCTGTTTCCATCCTGGCCACCTCCGGCTGGCAGAGAATGAACCACAGTGCCCCGCTGCCTTCCCCTTCACTCCCTCCGCTCAGGACAGAGCCCAAATCCTAAAGCTCTGGGTAGTCCAGAACGCTGCCCCCAAACTCCCAAGCCCCATCTGAGCCCACCCTGCCACTCATTCTCCAGTCCAGGCGCACAGGCTTCCTTTAGGTCCTGGCATGTGCTGGACCACAGGGCCTTGGAATGTGCAGTTCCTACTCTCGGGGACCCCCCTGCCCCCGTCTCTCCCTGCCTTTTACTTCTTTAACTCTTACTTTATCCAGAAAGTGGTTCAAGTATCAGGAAAGCTTTCTCGGACCTCCAGACTAGGTTAGATGCTTGCCCCTAAAACCATGAGGCACATCGGTGAGGGTGTCATACTAAGGAAGGGTGAGGGTGGGCCTTGAAGGCAGGCTGCCCAGGTTCAAATCCAGGCCCACCCTTGAACAAGGCCTTAACCACTCTGTGCAGGGATTTGCTCATCAGTAAGATGAAGCTAGCAATAGTGCCTGCTTCATTGACTTGTAAGGATGAGACATGCCAATATGATAGCTGTAGAAGCACCTAGAATATTGCCAGGCCTGTGGTATGCAGTCTCTCAATTTGAGTTAGGATCAAGGTTCATTCTTGGGGGTGATGCCTTGACTAGAGTCAGAGAGGAACTGCATGGGTACAGGGGGTCGGGGGAACTCCAGGCCGGCAGCATGGGCCCTGGGCTCTGTCTCAGCTTCTCAGGGAACCAGCTAGAAGATGAAGGCTGTCGAGTCCTGGCAGAAGCCATGTCCCGGCTGCACATCGCCAGGAAGCTGGAGTGAGTTGCCTACCCTGCCCCTGGGGTCCAGCCAGTCCCTGTTGCCCTGATCCCTGTGCCCATAGTCACCAGAAACAGTGCCATCCACTAACCACTCTGCCTTCTCCCAGCTCAGCAAAGTGGAATGGCCTGGCCATGTCTCACCTTCACCTCTGGCACGAGCCACTGTCCAGGTTCCGATTACGGAAACCCTTCCCCGTGTAGACCATGTTCACTGCACATAGGTGGCTCGTGTTCTAGTCGTCCCCATTATGGCCCTGGGGTAAGGTGGGGTGGGCTGGGGTGTTGCTTTGGGCAGCATTGGGTGCCAGGTGGATGGGTGCTGGCCCCAGAGAGCAACGTTGCCATCAACTAACCACTCTGCCTTCTCCCAGCTCAGCAAAGTGGAATGGCCTGGCCATGTCTCACCTTCACCTCTGGCACGAGCCACTGTCCAGGTTCCGATTACGGAAACCCTTCCCCGTGTAGACCATGTTCACTGCACATAGGTGGCTCGTGTTCTAGTCGTCCCCATTATGGCCCTGGGGTAAGGTGGGGTGGGCTGGGGTGTTGCTTTGGGCAGCATTGGGTGCCAGGTGGATGGGTGCTGGAGGGTTGTACCAGGAGATGGTGTCTTTGGGTGGTCAATGTCAAGGTGCAAGGGTGGGTTGTTGGGTGGTGAGGTAGAAAAGGACAGTGTAGGTTTGCGGGGTGTGCTGAGGGGTTGTGTGGTATGGGGTGGGGGTGGTGTGGGGTGAGCTGTGTTGGGATCTTCAGGCTCTGTCTCAGCCTCTCAGAGAACTAGCTGGATAGGAAAGGCTGAGATTTGGTAACTGGCTCAGCCCTTGGCTTTCGATTTAAAGCCTGGCTCAGCCCCTTAATAGCTTTGTACCAACAGAAAGTAGCTGAGTATCACTGGGCCTCCGTTTCCCCATCTGTAAAATGAGACTCATGAGACCATTTAGGTATGAGGCCCTCAGCACAGAGCCTGCTATAGTCAGTGCTCTGAAAGTGGTGTTTATCTCACAGATGAGGAGACAGGCTCGGAGAGGTGAAAACTCCGTCAGCTCTTACCACTTAAGCTGGAGAGCTTTACTCTGGGGGTGGAGGGTGGGGTCTTGCATCTCTTGGTTCACCCACATTCTTGGCTCAAATCCTTTGAGAGATACTGATTAGGGACCAAGGATCTCCCAGCAGTGACAGCCAGCACACTGCCATGTGGAGGGGACAGGAGCTGCCCGGGGCTGGGGATCTCAGCCACCTGCTGACAGCTGCATCCCTCCTGCTGCCCACAGCCTCAGCGACAACGGGCTCTCCACGTCTGGGGTACACTGCGTGCTGAGCGCCGTGAGCGCGTGCCCAGCCCTGTCGGAGCTGCACATCAGGTAGGAGACCCCTGTAGACCACCGGCACCCCGCCCTCCGGCTCTCTGAAGTCTTCCGCATTCTTTCTGGCCCCAGGCCTGGGGGAGGTACAGCAGTTGCTGGTGGCCTGCCCAGACATGGGTACAGCAGGTGTCCCTTGGCCCAGCAGCTGTGGCGTGGGCTGCCCACAGCTCTGCCTCCTCTGGACGTCTGCCCTTGGCTGGTAGGAGCCAGCGGCACCTGGGAGGGTACTCCCCACCCAGCCCCCAACCAGAGAGGTGAGGACAGGCAGGGGGTACGACTCTCCAGCCTTGCTGCCTTAAGTGCCCGTCAGGCTCCAGAGCCTCCCTCGGATCAGGCTGAGGACTGCCCAGTTCAGCTCCCACTGTCCCTTCCTGGTTTCTCTTGAGAGGAGTCCCTCAGCACGTGAAGTACACAAGTGACCCAGTGACACATGACCTCCCCCCCGCCCCGGTCACAGGCCCAGGCTTTGCTGCTGGAAAACCTAACTTGAAAAAGGGCCCAACCTTGGGGCTGGCAGGTGGTGTGGTGGCTAGGGCCCTGGACTCCCACATGGCTGACTGCAGCTCAATTCCAGACCTGGGCTTGAACTGGCTTGCTTTCCCACTCCCCCATCCCCAAATTAAAAAATAATAAATGAATAAAATTAAATAAAATAATTATTTGTTTTAACACAGAGGGGGCTCCCCTTCTTTCTGAGCCCTGCTATTCAGTATGGGAACTGAAGACAGATGCTCGTGAGTGTCAGCACCGTGCTTGCTCAGAAGGAAACCTCGTTCTCGGCTCCCAACGGAAGAGGGTGGTCCCTGCTTTAAATACCCCTCAAGGGAGGAGAGTGAAGCTGAATTTACCAAGGACACCTCAGTACCCTTTAATGTAATTTATTTTTTTAAGTTCGTTTATTTCTTCCATGAACAAAACAAGCAGAGAGAGAGGGGTAGAGAGACTGTACCCCCCAATGGGGTCTCAGTGCTGAGAGTTTCCCCCTCCCCCCCAGTTTATGGGCACATGCGGCCTTGAATACTCAAAGAAGAACTCCAGGAACCTTCCCACAGGGGCAGCCTCACACAGTGTGGTGGTTTACCACTGTGCTGGGGGCAGCCCCCCGGCCCCTCCACCCCCGTCCACTTTACGTGCTGATTCAATAAAGAGTCCCTGATGTGTTCCAAATAACACTTCATCCACTTCTAGGACTGTAGCTAAGAACATTACCATGGCTGTGCAAAAATAGTTATTGAGGATGTTCACCTCAGTGTTGATGATAGAAAAACCTGAAAATAACCGAAATGGGGGTGAGCAGATGGCATAGCGGTTGTGTCGCTGGACTCTCACATGGTTGACTGCAGTGTGAGTCTCAGACCTGGTGGCTTGAAAATCACTCCAGGTGTGTGTGCGTGTCCAGGTGTGTGTTCATGGAACAATTGAAAAATGCTTTTTACACAAGTGGTCTTCAAAAAAATTGTGGGAAACAGAACTAAAGTGTTTACTTTGTTGCAGAAAAAAATTAAAAGAAAGAGAAAGAAAGGAAAGAAATCCATGCATAGCTTCATAATACACATTTTTCATGAATTTTTTGAAGACCACCCCCCATAGATCCAATTCTAAGATGGAGGAATCACTGGTATATTAAATAAACCTACACAAGCTTTTGTTTGTTTGTTTGTTTGTTTTCTGGGAGGTGTGTGGGAGGGAGGTTGGTTTTGTGTTTGTTTGTTTGTTTTGCTATAGGGTACATGCACCCACCAGAGAGAGAGAGACAGAGAGAAAAAGGGAGAGTGAGAAAGCACTCCCCATGGGAGATGGCCATGCCACAATCCCTTCTTCTCCATTCTCTTGTTGGGATTTTGGGCACGCACTTGCTCAGCATATTTCTTAAGCTGCCTGGTCCAGGACTCAAATTGCATAGTTAACCATGTGGGATCCAATTACCTTAACCTCCATGCCACCAGCTAGCCTAATAGACTTACAAAATTTTAACTCATCATCTTTATATTGGGTTGTTGGGGGCATCATGCATAGAAAAACATAGAAAATGCGTCACGACTTTCCCGACAACCAAATAACAAAGCTTTTCAAGAATACTCAGAGGTGGAGAGGATAAGATAACCCATTGCTATTAATAATGATTGCTGACCTCCCACACAGCTGGAAATGTGCATATAGGGGCCAGATGGTGGTGCAGCAGTAAAATGTGTCTGCCCTGTGGGGCCGGTACACACAAGAAGGTTCCCAGTTTGCACCCAGAGACCTCCCTGAGTATACCGGCACATGCATGGTCTCAATCGAGGGCTGGCTGTGGCATCAGGACCCTTTAGGGGGTGCATCCTCTCTACCTCCACCTCTCTCTCATGGAAGAAATTTTAAAAGAAAGAAAGAAAATTCTCTTATAACTTTTAAGCACTCCCCCAAACTTAACTAATAGCCTACTGTTGATCTTACCAATAATATAGAGTCAATTAAGTAACACATGTTTTATATGTCATATGTATTATATGCTGCATTCTTAAGGTAAAATAAACTAGAGAAAATGAAATGTTATTAAGAGAATCATGAGAAAATTCATGTACAGTATTGTACTACAGTTTTCAATACATTTATTGAAAAAAAAATCCATATACAAGTTCAAGGCTCAGCTATATTCATCATTATATTCATTGGCAATTCGTTTCTTCTTCTGTCCCTTAAAAAACTAATTTATAAATTAGAATCAAGGGGCCAGCAGGTGGCATAGTGGTTAGGTTGATAGACTCCCACTTGGCCAACCGCAGGTCAAGTTCCATACCTGACAGTTTGAAACTCACACCAGGCATGTGTGCGTGCTTGCCCAAGACCCCAAGAGGAGAATGGAAGAGAAGGGATTACAGCGTGGCCGTCCCCTTGGGGGCGGAGGGCGGGTGATTTCTGTCTCTCTCTCTCTCTCTGTCTCTATCTCTCTCTGGCAAGCACATACACCCTATAGCAAAAATCTCTCTCAAAAAAAAAAAAAAGAGAATCAATATTTCAATCCCATTTTAGTAAGACAAAAATTAACTGCATGAGAAAGACCTGGAGGACTCACTCCAAAAAGCTAGCAGTGGTCATCGGCAGTCCACATGCACTCGTGGACAGGAGGAGAACCACCCTCAGCCGGAGTACTCCCCGAGTTTGGGGAACAGCAGTGACTGGCAGAGGGAGAGAGGTTTCAGCCAAAGGCCAAAAGAAACAGAAGACAGAAATTAAGTTTTTTTCAAGGATTTACCACAAAAAGAGGGCTGCTTATGCAACAGACAAATTTGCGACCATGGTAGAAAGACTTCTGGCCCCACAAAGCTCAGAGGAGGGGGATGCGGTGGGAGGCAGGGGTGATCCACTAGGGTTAAAAGGGATCCAGAGCCTCAGGGATCCAATGACCTCTTGCTTATCTCTCCAGCCTAATGCACAAGACTGTGATCTTCTGCTTTGCCCAAGAGCCGGAGGAGCAGGAGGGGACCCGGAAGAGGTAGGGTCCCAGCATCATCCCAGGTCCCCTCTTGGGCAGGTCCACCCTTCCCTGACCTTTGACCTTGATGAATTCAGGCAGGAGCAGGAAGTGAGCAAACTTGGATGTAGTCTAGAGGGGCCTTGAAAGGACAGACTGCCTCCCTGTTTCGTGGTGCCCAGAGAGTTCTGAGATGTAGGGTGTCTGCGGTTGAGGAAGCCAACTGGGGCAACCAGAGAGTGATACTCAGGAAACTGAGGCCCTCCTGCCTAAACCCAGAGCATTTGCCTGGCCTGAAGCTCTGATCTTTGTAGGAACTTCTGGCTCCTTTTGACACAGGCAAACACCCTAAAGAGGGTGTTTGCCTCCTCCAGGGTGCCTTCCTGGACTGCCCCAGTCTAGCACACAGGCAAAGGCTCAGCTCTTTGTTCCTTGGTGTCCACCACAGTCTCTTCTGGAGGGTCTGAGTTGTTGAGGGCTTGATTAGAGCTGGGGCTGATAGCCCTGACGGCACGGATGATATTAATGATGATAACAGCCGAGGGTAATTGAGCATTTATTACATATGCACCAAGCACCTAACTAAGGCAAGTCACGTATGTAATATTATCCTGGGGAGGGGGCGGGGGTGGTCACACAACTCTGAAGTGAGGCCAAACTACAACCCAAATCTGACTCCGGACTGAGTGTAAGATTGAATGTGGGAGATGAGATTGAGGATGTGCTCCGGAGACAGTGGACAAAGCATTTGCCCAGCTGGCCTTTGCGTGTGTCCCTCCAGGCTGGCTGCATTTCTTGACAACCTCACGCCCCAGGTGCCATCTGACCTGCCCCTGAGCTCCAGAAGGATCAGGTACAGTGATGGCCTCTGGCTCCGGGTGTGGTTCCAGCCTCCTCTTTTCCCTGCTCCAAACTTGGCCCCAGACCCCAAGCCCCACCTGCTCCCTGGGGACACCGTGACTGACTGTATCCAGGATTCATGGCTTGTTTTCCCACTTCCTGCCACCCTGGCCCCGCCCAGCCCAGACAGAGCTCAGGAGGCAGCCCCCTTCTGCAGCCCAGGAATCCCCACTCTCCAGAGCTCCCAGCCCCTAGAAGCTGAGGCGCTGGGGGAACTCTGGACAGAGAGGAGGGGAGCACTGGGCCCCTTCCCTCCTGGTCCTGGCCCATGTCTGGAGACTCAGCTCGCCCCATGGGGCCCCCCGGTCAGCCTCTTCTCACCCCCTAGCTTGCTTGGTGTCTAGCTCAACCTCCTCTCTGTGTCTCACCCCTATCCCTCTTGTAAGTTGTTTCTCTCTGTCTACTACCCTTAGTCTTCTCTGTCCTCCTCTGGTTCTCTCTCTCTTCTCTGGGTCTCTCTGTGTTGATTTCTCTCTGTGTCTCTGACTTGTATGTGTATGAGGTCTCATGAGTGTGGTGTGTGCTATTTCTCTGTCTATCTGGGCTCCAGTCCTTCCTCTCCTGCAAGCCTGGCTCCTTGCCTGTGTCTGGGGCGACGGGCGGGTCCTACTTCCCTTCAGCAGGGCAGGTCTGCCTCTCTGCAGGTTGGCCCACTGTGGCCTCCAAGCCAAGCACCTAGAGCGGCTCAGCAAGGCGCTGGGAAGAAGCTGCCATCTGGGTCACCTCGAGTAAGTGATCGCAAGGCGGGCGGGGCCCATCAGCGTTAGCTGCTATTAGCGTGCCTTCTGGGACATCTATCAGTGGCGTTTCCCTTAGTGAAGTGAGGAAGGAGCTCCTTAGAAAATCTGCACAAAGCTGGGATTCCCCTGGTGGCATGGTGGTTAAGGCAGCTGGATCCCACGTGGCCAACTGCATGGTTTGAGTCCCAGATCCAGCAGCTTGAAAAACACGCCAGACACATGGATGTGTGGCCAAGTTACCCAGGAGAATGGAGGAGGAGGGATGGTGGCATGACTATCCTCCATGGCGGGCTGGGGAGAGTACTTTCACACTCCTCCACCTGTCTCTCTCTCTCTCTCTGTCTCGGGTGAGTGCATGCACTCTCTAGCAAATTTTTAAGAATAAAGAAAGTTATGACTCAGGCCCCCTACACTCCATGTTCTCTGAAACGCAGGATGAGAACTTGGGGGAAACCCCAACTGTGTCACGTGAGATCTGCCGAGATCTGGCCTAGCAGCCTAGGCCTGGGTCCCCAGTTTCAGAAGCCAAGTGCCCGGGAGCAATTCTGCTACCAAACCCCATTGCCACCCTCACTGACTTCTCTCCCCGCCTCCAGCTTATCAGGCAATGCTCTGGGCGATGAAGGTGTGGCCCTGTTGACTCAGCTGCTCCCAGAGCTAGGCCATCTGCAGTCCTTGACGTGAGTGAACAGTTAGGCAAAGTGTCTTGGGGTTGTCTTGGGCAGGAAAGGGCGGGGGCATCCTGTGTCCCATCCCCTCCCCCCTGGGGTTATTGCAAAGATGAAACCAGAGCAGGCGTGTACCTTGTCTGGCCCAGAACCTGAAAAGCCAGTAAGCGTTCTCAGTAGGGGAGCTGCTACTGTGACTCTCACTGCTTTAGATTGGCCTCTGTGACTCAATAATCCAGCTTCTCTTCTCCACCTGTCTCTGTGTCTCTGGGAGGCCCAGACCACCTGGGGCAGAGTGGACGCTATGGGACGTGTCAGTGGTTAATAGCCTGTAGCCGTTCTGGCTCCAGGTCCAGGAAGGGGCTGTCTGATGGGGCACTGGGAGGGTACCTGAGCAGGGTACCTGGGCTGCTGGCGGTGCTGGGTGGGGAGTACCTGACAGAGAGGGGAGATAGTCTGTATGGGAGACACACTGAAAGGAGGCCAGGATCTTCTAACTTGGCCTCCTGCAGACCAGAGTTCCTGGACCCCAAAGGCCCGTAGGGTTCATGGCTTCCACACGTCCTGCCCACCACTGAGCTCTGATGGCCAAAGTGAAAGGGACCCTCTGATAGGTCATAGGTCCTGGATTCCAGGCTGGCTCCACCACCTAATTTCTGTGTGACCTGGGGCAGGGTTCTAGGTCTCTCCAAGCTCCTGGTTTCTAGTGAACACAGAAATTGTAGGGTGCCTCCTGCTTACAGCTAGTCTCAGAATCAGGTGCTGTGGGCCCTTCTTGCCTGATCTGTCTTTGGAAATGGCAAGGAAAGAAGGTCACCCTCTTCCTGTTGCAGGCCTGCAGCTGGAATGGGAGGGCAGCCTTGCGCTGCCAGCAAATGACATGCAGATTGGAGCTTTCAGGCATGTCCCTTCTTAATGCGGTGGATGCCTGGATGACCCAGTGCCTGCCATCCTGCCAGTGTCCATGCCTGAGGCATGTGGCATTAAATGGCAATTAAAAAAACCATCATGACAAGTTGACAGGAAGACCACAAAAGAAAGAAAAAGCTTTGTCCCTGCATTTTGAACAGGAGGCCCCATGTTTTTCATTTTGCACTAAGCACCACCCCTCCTTTATCAGATGGGGAAACTGAGGCCCAGTTCTTCCAAAAAGCATGCTTACATTCATTGCAGACCGAAAGAATCCTTGTTCTAATCTCAGCTCTGACACCAATGTCTCATAGCCCTTAGTGGGCCTCGGTTTCCCCACCTGTATAGTGAAGATCCAGAAGGGGAACTCTCTGACCATCTGGGCTCAATGGGTTCATCATCTGAAATCAGGGACAGCCCTGTCCTGTGCTCTGATCACAAAGAGGGTGACTTTGAGTCCCGGTGACCTCCCTCAATGTCACGCCTATGTTCTCCAGCCTCAGTGAGAATGCCGTGTCCCTGGATGCTGTGTTTAGTTTGGCCAAGTGCTTTTCCACTCTGCGGTGGGTTTTCCAATTGGATATCAGGTGAGCGCGCCTCTCTGCCCCAGCCCCCTCAGCCCCTCATCCCATGGGGCCACAGGCTCCTATGCACGCCCTACCTCCCACGTCTGTCATGTTCATGACGTGTCATCCTTAGGGCCTTGGGCCATACTGGGTGCAGTGGGCATGGGGAAGGAATGAATGAAGGGGTAAAGCCCAAGGGCACTCATTTCTCCAAATTCACTATAGGACAAAGTCCGTCGATTCTCCCTCCCTCCCTCTGCATTAACCTCAGAGACTTTTAAGAAAACTGGGAATTGCATGTTTGGGGCTTGGTTTAATTGTGGGGTCACTGGAGCTGGTGAGAATATAGAAGAGAAAGCATCCATGGTTTTAGGGGAGGTCTGCTTCCCTCGCCCTTCTCTGAGGATCCTCAAGAATGGAAAGTGCCATAGCAGATGGACGTGGTCCCCAAGCCTCTCTAGGCCTCGGTTTTCTCATCTGTAAAATAGAGATTAGGATGATTCCTGACTTCATGGCAGTCAGGAATTGTGAAAATCAAATGAGATAATGGCAGTGGTGTGCTCTGCACGTGCCTTATAAATGTGGCTGTTGCTTAATCTGTTTCTCGTTCCATTAGCCAAGAAAGCAGGCCACCCCTACGCCAGTCTGCTCGCTTGTCGCTGCCTGGGAAGGGGTCCTTTGCCCTTTCTCAGACTGCTGCCTTCCCTCTGCTTCCAGCCTTGAGAGCCAACACATCCTCCTGAGCGGTGACAAGAGAAGCAGGTGAGGCGGGAGCGCTCTATGATGGCATGGGTGGGGTGGGCTCCCCTCTCCCTCTGGCCTCCATTTCCTGCAGGTGCCCCCCCCCAGACCTGAGCTGATGCCTTAGCCCTATAGCGAGCTACCCAGGTCAGGCACGTAGAACCCATCACCGCTTCTATAACTGCCTCCCTCATGGAGATCGTCAGTAATCAGCTGCCTGAAATCCTTCCTGGATGAAGGCAATGCTGATGGGAGGGAGGGAGCGAGGGCACCAGGGTGATGCCAAAGCCATGCAGGTGCTAGCAGATGGCTGCTGTGTGGGTGGGGACACAGGAACAGTTAGCTTCTGCCTCTGGGGGCCTTCTGCAGACTCAAGACTTCATATGAGTCACTGCCCTTTCACACTCTGAGTATCACATTCAAAGTCGAGAAATCAAGAACCGTTGAGTCTCTGCAAAAAGTATTTCCTGATCTTTGCAATAAACAGTGCACAATGGTTTTAGCTCTTCACAGATGTTTCCAGCTGCCCCCTAGTGGGTCGGGCATGCTGGCCTCACTTGGGAGGCTTGGCCACAGAAAAGGGGCCTGTCCATTCAGCTGACAGAGCAAATTCACAGCCAACAGGTCGGGGAAAAGTACTACCCTCCCAGGTGGACCACCTGCTGCCAGGGCTGGCCCGAGGCCAGACTAGGGGCTCAGTTTCTGGAACCCTTTAGCTCCCTGAAGCCAAGAGCTCTTGGGTGCAGAGAAGCAGGAGCCATGTGATGCTAAGTCGGTGGTCAGGGAGGAGGGGCTCCATCCTAGCCCCTTACTGCTCCCCTATCTGGCCAGGTGCTGCACACCTGCACAGGTCCAAGCTGTTGGCTCTTCTCGTTCCAGCTCTGCTTCCCTGGGCTTTAGTTTCCCCATCTGTACAGTGAAGGGCTGGGCTAGGACCTAGTGACTTGATTGTCACCAGCACCCCTTCCAGTTCCGACTTCGAGTCTAGGAGTCCAGGGCGAATGATCCGAACTGCCATTTCAAATGCTTTCTCCTTTTTAAGACATGGACCAGCTGCTGGATCTTTGCCAGAGTTCCCAGAGGGAGCCCAATCCTCAGGACTGGGTCAGCGCTGCAGCTCTAGGAGCTTCCGGTACAGTCTCATCCACCTTTTACTTGTGTTGGGGGTAACTACAATGTGGGAGTGGGTAGAACTGAGAAGAGGGGCCTAGGACTGAGGACTGAGGACTGGGATGGAGGCAAGGAGTTTTATAGAAAGAGGAGTGATGAGGGACCATCCGATGGCCTCATGTTTACGTTGCTGGACTCGCACATATTCGACCATGGTTCAAGTTCCAGACCCGCCATCTTAATACTCCCGCTGGGCACATGTGCGTGCGTGCCTAAGATCCCAGGAGGAGAATGGAGGAGAAGGACTTGCAACGTGGCCATCCCCCCTGGGGAGTTATTTCTTGCTTTCTGTCTTTCTGTCTCTCCAGCGAGCACATGTGCCCTATAGCAAAAAATCTCTCTTTAAAAAAAAACATAACAAAGAAGGGTGATGTGAGGGAGTTGGGGGTGGGGGAGGCAGCTGGACAGGCCCAGACCCCAGCGTTCTCTGCCATATTTCTCTGAAAGCAGACCCGGCAGCCCAGTCCTTCCCTGTCTAAGGTGCCATCTGCTTTGGGGGATACCCATTCTCCAGAAAGAAAGTGGCTACCCCAAATATATCCCAGGAGGAGAATGGAGGAGAAGGACTTGCAACGTGGCCATCCCCCCTGGGGAGTTATTTCTTGCTTTCTGTCTTTCTGTCTCTCCAGCGAGCACATGTGCCCTATAGCAAAAAATCTCTCTTTAAAAAAAAACATAACAAAGAAGGGTGATGTGAGGGAGTTGGGGGTGGGGGAGGCAGCTGGACAGGCCCAGACCCCAGCGTTCTCTGCCATATTTCTCTGAAAGCAGACCCGGCAGCCCAGTCCTTCCCTGTCTAAGGTGCCATCTGCTTTGGGGGATACCCATTCTCCAGAAAGAAAGTGGCTACCCCAAATATATTACTCACCTGTGAGAAAAGTCAAGCTGGAGAGAGAAATGCTGCCTGCCTTTGCTGGGGTCTAGCCTGGGAGCTGGCAGTTTACCGGCTCTGCCCAAAGAGCCTGTGAGACCCTGCCTGAGCTCTCCCCTTCCCCAGGTCTGTTTCCTCACCTAAGCTGAGGCTTGATAGGGTTTTCCAGAAAGGAGAGTGACTTGTGTGCCGGGCAGGTTGGACAGCGTGTGCAAAGGCCCGGAGGAGTGGAAGTGTGGCCTTTGGGAAGCATGTCAGTAGGGCTAGTGCATGAACTGGGAGAGCAGAGGCCAGGGAGGCCACAGGAAATGCACTTCGTGTTTAGCCTAAGGGTAATAAGGAACCGAAGGTTTTAAGCAGGGGAGAGGCCTGATCAGACTGCAGAGTTAAAAGATGAGATATTTACAGGGTGTAGAGGGATTATAGGGAAGCCTGGAAGGTGTTAAATGGGCCAGGAAGTGAGGATGGTCCTCCAGACTCAGGCAGGGGCAGCAGGAAAGACTTGGAGAATCATTGGGCAAAACTGTTACTGTCAGAGAGGTGGGACTGGGAATTGAGAGACTTGGAGAGGAGAGGGTACCCTGCTGGGGATGTCGCCTGTGGCCCATGGCCTAGGGAGAAAGCCTTTGGGGAAAGAGCACGTCCCTGGGGTGGGTCAGATGACCTGAGCCCTCTCTGATCCCCGGGCCTGCCCCTGCCTCTTTTCAGCCTCGGGGAGTGTCAGCTGGAGCCTCCCAGCCTCACCCACCTCTGTGCGACTCTGGAGGACTGTCCAGGGCCACTGGAAGTCCAGTAAGTAACAAAGACAGCCCTGAGGGCATGAGGTGGGTATCAGCCTGGCACCTGGGAGGGGGGTTGGGGTGAGAGGCCTGGCAAGTCTTTCCTAATCCTTCCCCCGAGATCTCGCTAGCCTGGGCCTAGGGGAGTTTCTGACCTAGTGGGTATGTGTGTGGCAGCGCGGAGGGGTGGGGTGGGGGGGTTCTTTGCCTCCATGAAACACATGAGGCACTGCTCCAAGCCTGGGGAAAGCCCTCACCTTCCCTGTCCACTCCAGGCGGGGCACCTAGGAGGCCATGAGTCCTGGAGCCCCGCCCAGCCACCCACTTAGTCCCGCCTCCGTGGCTGGAACTCCATTCCTTCAGAGAGCCCTTCTTTAGGCTCGGGGTTACCACCTCATTCACCCCTGAACACCTGAGGCTGGGACTGGAGTCTAGACTCGGACTTGGACTCCGGAGTTGGCTCAGCCACCTGCAAGCCGGGTGACTTTGGGCAAGTGGCTCTGATTCCCTGGGCCCCAGCTTCCTCACCTACAAAGTGGTCGGACAGCCTTTCCCCTTGGCATTGTGACTTTATTACAGTAATTAGCTTAAAGAAATCCAGGGCAAAACTCGCTTCACCTAAACAACCGCTTCCATCAAATCAGTGCTGTCCTTTGTCTCTGTGACCGCCCATTCCTTGCGTGGCCTCCTCCATGTTCAGACACACAGAGACCCGGAGGGAGGGGTCTTTGGTGTGTGACACACCTAGCCTCCAACCATTTAAGATCTCTGCAAAATGTTTTTGTTTTGTACCTCTGCAAAATGGCTTTCCCTGAATATCACAACATGTGGGTCTGATTCATTTAGTGTTTTATTTTTAATTTATTTACTTATTTCTTCTGTAAAAGAGATGGACAGGGAGACAGGCATCCCCACCCGGATCTTCAAGCCATACTCCTCCCCCAGTTTCAGTTGACCCAAGCACAGGCTCATGGATGTACCCAGCACGTGCAACCAGGTCCCTGGACTCAAACTCAATTTCCTTTACAGAGATTTTTGCTATAGGGCGTGTGCACTCCCAGAGAGAAACAACAGAAAGAGAGAAAGTGAGAAATCACCCTCCATGGGGGATGGCCATGCCTCAATACCTTCTCCTCCATTCTCCTTTCGGCATTTTGAGCACACATGCACATGCACCCAGTGTGAGTTCCAAGCCACTGGGTCTGGGACTTGAATCACAGTAGGCCACATAGGAGTCCAGCACCTCAACTCAACCACTGTGCCACCTGCTGGCTCCCAACCTCGATTATGATCATGCCACCACCTGGCCCCTATTTTGCTTTTTAATAAACTGTTTTAGACCTGATTTGCGGTTGTAAAGGTAGTTCAGATCCTCTCTTCATTTTGCTCGTTGTGAGCATCTTCCATTACCACAGCCTGGTTGTCACAACTGAGACAACTGTGCTACTGTTGACTGGACTCCTGACTCCACCCAGGCTCTGCCAGCTTTTCCACAATGCCCTTCCTCTGATCCAGAACCCATCCAGGACCCCACATCACATGTAGCCCTCATGTGCCTTAGCCACCTCTGGAAGGTGAAAGTTTCTCATTCTTTGTTTTTCCATGTTTTATTATTTTTTTTTTTTTAGATGTTTGCTGTAGGGCAAAAGACAGAGAAAGGGAGAAAGACAGAGAGATTCAGAGATGGGGAAGATGAGACATCACCCCCCCCCCCAGCACAATCCCTTCTCCATCCTCTTGGGATTTTCTTGGGCATGTATGCACATGCACCTGGCATGATTTTCAAGCTACTGGATCCAGGACTCGAACTGCAGAGTTGGCCATGTGGGATCCAGCCCCTTAACCGCCACATCACCTGCTGGCCCTGTTTGTCATGTTTCTGGCAGGTATATGTTAAACTGTCCCTCTGCAGAGGTTCGTCTGATATCTTTGTCAGGGTTACACTGGGGTTGTAGGACTGGGGGAAGAACACAAGGAAGAGGACGTGCCTTTACTGTCATGTTGTCCCAGGGATGCCGGCTGCCGACCTAACGCTGTTGAGGCTGGCCCTGATCACCTGGCCAAGGCAGTGTCTGTCCTACTTTTCTGCTGGAAAGTTACTCTTTAATTTAGAGGACACTTTCCTGCCAAGAGCAGAGTGTGGTTGGTAGCAGTGCTGGATGCACCATGGCTAACTGTGGTCAGATTCAGGGGCTGGCTTGAAAACATGCTAAGCACGGCAGGTCCTCAGGAGCTGGAGAGCTGGGGAAAGGGGATTACGGTGTGATATAACCCTACCGAGGGTGTTTTCTCTTTCTCTCCCTGCCGGTATGCACACACATGCTCTCTGTCAGAAATAAATAAACTTAGAAAAAAATACTTTTCTTATGGAGATTTTCAAGTACACATAAAAGCAGAGGGACGAAGCATTAATGGCACAAAGAGGTGTGGTATTATCTGTTGAAGATATTTTGTAGTTTTATCAACTGTACTAGGGAGAAATGTTCACCTGTTGAAATATCCATTTTGTAAGACAAATGATAATGTGATTGATTGTATGGAAGAAAATGAAATGAAAAAAAATAATAATAAAAGGAAAAAGAATTTTTAAAAAAAGCAGAGGGAGGGGCTAGCAGGTAGCATTGTGGTTAAGATGCTGGACTCCCATAAGGCCAACTATAGTTCTAATCCCAGACCTGGTAGTTTGAAATATGCTGGGCGCATGTGTATGCAGGCCCAAAATCCCAGGGGGAGAACAGAAGAGAAGGGATTGTGGCGTGGCCATTCTCCCTGGGGAGTAATTTCTCACTTTCCCTCTCATTGTCTCTCTCTGTCTCTTTCCAGCAAACACACACAACCTATGGCAAAAATTTAAAAAACAAACAAACAAAAACACAGAATAGTATAATAGACCCTATGGTACCCTCCTCCTGCCTCCATAGTTCTCAACCTGTGGTTCCAACCCACACATGCACTCACATGTGCATGCACACACATACACAGTTATTTTGAAAAAATTCCCAGATACTTTATTGCTTTCTCTGTAAACATTTTAGTATACATAGCTAAAAGATAACTACTGTTTTTGTTATTGTTTTAAGATAGATTTTTGCTACAGGGTACATGTGCTCACCAAAAAGATAGAGGCAGAGAGAGACAGAAAGCAAGAAATCACTTCTTGATTTCTTTTTTTTTTTTTTTTTTTGAGAGGTTTTCACTATAGGACACGTGTGCTCACCAGACAGACAGAGAGAGAAATAGAGACAGAAAGTGAGAACTCACCCCCCAGGGGAGATGGCCACGCCACAGTCCCTTCTCCTCCATTCTCCTCTCGGGATCTTGGGCATACATGCACACGCGCCCGGAGTGAGTTTTAAGCCACCGGGTCTGGGACGCGAACCGCGGTCGACTACGTGGGAGTCCAGCGACATAGCCATTACGCTAACTGCTGGTCCCACTTCTTGATTTCTTGCTTTCCTTCTTTGGGTGGCCAAACCACATTCCCTTCTCCTCCATTCTCCTCTTAGGATCTTGGGTATGCATGCACACACACCTGGAGTGAGTTTTAAGTTGCCAAATCCAGAACTCAAGCCATGGTCAACTATGTGGGCGTCTAACGATGTAACCATTACACCATCTGCTGGTCCCATGTACTTATTTTTTTTTCCAGCATAACCACAAAATCATTATATGTAAACTAATGTTTTAAAGAATTATTTTATTTCATTTATTATCATTATTCAATTGTTTAATTTGACCAGAAAAAGACAGAGAGAGAAAGGGAAAGTAGGAAAGCAAGCCTTCAGATCTGAAACTCAACCATGGTTGGCCATGTGGGAGTCCAGTGCCTTAACCACCACGCCACCTGCTGGCCTCTATACATAAACTATTAACAGCAATTCCTCAAAATCACCAAATATGCCATCAATGTTTCATCTTCCCTGATCATCTCATATGTATTTACAGTACTTGTACATTCATGTCTTTCAATACTAACCTACCACAGTGTTGGCATGTGCAAGTTGTTCAACCACCTGCATTTGGGGGCTAGAAAGATACCCAAGCTGCTTCCAGGGAGTTGGTTTTTTGTTTTCTTTGTAGCACCACAGCCAATGCTGCAAAGTACTCTTCCATTGTGTAAATGTTAAGCTTCTGCTTATAACAGGCACTGGGCTGGGGCCTGGGGACACAAGGGTGATTGGGATATCCACCAGGGGCTCACTATTAATGGGAGGAGGTGTGTCATGGAAAAAGCCCACAAGTGATGCCAGATGGTGTGAGCCCAGGTGGAAGTCTAAGAGCCTGCCTCAGCTGTGGTTGGAGGAAGTGGGAAAATGGGCACAAAAGCCCTTTGCCAACTGTAAGAGAACCATGACCTCTTATAGGATTATTGTTATCAATAATCATCAAAGTACTTAATGCAGAGGTCCAGTGTTGACCAGCCATATCCTGGGGTTTTACTTGGTGGCCAGGGAAGCAGTGAGACTCCAGCCCCTCCCCAGGTTTAACCATAGCAGGACCGCTTTGGCTGCATACTTATTGACCTACCATGTGGGATGCTGTCATGGGTAAAGGATCCATCACTTTAAAAAAGTGTGTAAGCCTCACCTTTACTCATCCAGCCAGCGGCCGTCACACTGTGTATTTGGAGTCTGGGGGAAGACCACCCCTCAGTGAAGACCCCAGGCTCAGTCCCTAGGACACAAAGGGTTGGGCTGAGCCTGTAGCCTAGGCCTGGCAGGGGTTCTACCATGAGGCTTCCAGCTCCAGAACCACAGGCTGTTCCTCCCATTCTACCCCATGCCACCCCACTCCCCAAAATGATGCTGGTTCTTGCACCCCCAACCAACCAGTAGCAGAGAGCCAGGTTCCTGGAGGCCTTAGTGAGGGAAAAGGAGAGCCTGTACTGGACAAAGGAACAGGGATGAGGAAAGGGGGCCAGTGAAGGTCGAAGGGGGAGAAGGCAGAAGGAGAACACAGTCCAAAGGCTTCCGGGGGTCAGGAAGTGGCTCTGGCCCCTCCCCCAATGGGGGAGTAGATATTAGTCCTGGGATGCTCAGGGACTCTAGCTCTCCCTGTTCTCCATCTAGAGCAGAGATCGAAAGTGGGCATCTGGAGTGTCTTCCAAGCGCCCTGAGTTCTTTTTTATTTATTTATTTATTTATTTAATATATACATTCAATGACATTGTTTAGCTTATGAAGTGAACATTGCAATATGTGAACATTTCTCCCCAGTCCAGTTGATCAAAATATCTTCAACAGATAACACCACACCTCCCCGTCCCGTCAATGCTCTGCCTCTGTATTCCTCCTCCAAATGTCCTTCCCTAGGCCTCAGTCCTCCACACACACCACATCTGGCATTCACACCCATCTCTTGTGTTTGTATATCTTTTTAGTCAATCAGTTTCGGTCATAGAGTGTAGACACTCAGTATATATTAAGTGGGGATATACGATGTCTCTCCATAGCCTGGTTTGCTTCACTCAGTAGTAAATCTTCAATATTCTTCCACTTTCTGTCAAAAGCCAGGGTTTTGTTGTTTTTTTATGGCTGTTAAAAGGCTGACTGTTGTTGTTTTTTATGGCTGAATAGTATTCCATAGAGTATATGTGCCACAGTTTTTCAATCCATTCATCCATATGGGGGCCAAGTACCCTGAGTTCTAACAAATTATCTGGGCAAGTGATGAGCTGGTCTGTCTGGTTTTGATGGGTAACCAAAGATCCACATCTTGCCACTGCATGCTGAATTTCCAGTGTCATATTCACTCCTCTGGGTTAAGTTACAGTCTTTTAGATTTTAATAATTTATTTTATTTTATTTTATTATTATTGGTTTTGTTTTGTTTTATTTTTGTTTGTTTGTTTTTTGCTATAGGACATGTGCACTCACTAGAGAGAGAGAGAGAGAGAGAGAGAGGGAAAGTGAGCCAGTAAGACGCCAGGTCCAGGATTCAAACTGCAGCTGGCCATGTGGGAATCCAGCTCCTCAACCATGCCACCTGCTGGCCCCTAAGGCTGCATTCTTTTCATTTTTTCCTTCCTTCTTTCTTCTCTCTTCTTTCATAAACAGCAAGAGAGATGAGAGAGAAAGAGAGAGATACCACCCCCAATAGGAAGTGGATGCTATGATCCACCCCCAGCCTTTGGCCAGACCCATATCTTGATCATGTGCTAGGCATGCTTGGGTAGGCCTCCAGACTTGAACCAGGAACCTTTCCATGTAAGACTGCTTCACAGAGTGCCGATTCTTTCCACTGTGCCCCCTCCTGGCCCCAGCACTCTTTTCCTAACAATTGTGTTTACAGAACTCTAAACTTCATGGTTCTGAGACAACAATCCTGCTAGTCCATTCACTTGGGGAAAAAGTCTACTATACCCCTCGGAAATTCATGAGAACCTATTAAAGGCTGGGGGAAGTTGTGCAGCTAAGAAACGACTTCATTTGGTTTAACCCAGTATTTTCAGAACCTACCTGACCTTCCCCTTCCTCCAACTGCAAGGACAACTCAAGGACCCCGTGTTGGAAGGGCATGTTTTGGGAAGCGCTGGTTAAGTCCCATCTCCAGAAGGCTCTGGCTGTGAGGTCGCACACCCTGCTTTCCCAGAAGGGTCTCCCCACTCCTCATCAAATGCTTTGTTTCACAGGTTGTCCTGCGAGGTCCTGAGCGACCAGAGTCTGGAGACCCTGCTGCACCACTTACACCGGTTCCCCCAGCTCAGCCTGCTGCAGTAAGACTGTTTGCCCTTGCTGTTCCTCGGCCTGTGTCCCTGAGGCGCTTGCACTGCAAAACCTTCGCCCTCTTCCCCCTCACTCCTTCCCTTGGGCGCTTCCATCATTTTATCTGACACAACTGGGGAGTATGCTCTGCTTCCACCTCACCCCGAATACTCTGTCAACCTCAAGGAGAGGTATTTGCCCCCTCTGGGTCTCAGTTTCCTCATCTGACGAATGGGATTCCTATTCCCTAACCTTCCCCAGGGTTGGGATTGAACTGGACAGTTGCTCTAAAAGCACTGTCGAGAATAGAAGGCTGGTGACAAGCGAGCTGTCCTACTTCTCCCCACCATGGCAGGGCCCCCTACCCCCAGAGAGGGAATGTACAGATGTAGGTCATGTATATGTCACACGCCACTGTTTAAAGGTCACCCTTGAACTCCGTCAAAGGGGGAATTTAAGCAGCATCCCCCAAAGTATTTAAAACTCGCATTTTCTAATTTCAGCTCAGACTGGTTAGAATTTAAAAAGGAGTTTCTTGAAATATT